TCCGTATGCCCTTTTTGAATCAGATGATGAGTGGGACCGATGGAATTGTTAGTAATGCTATCTTGATGTAAGCTTGAGAGGTCATGATCAATCCTATAATTGTAGGGAGATAGAGGCCCTCTATAGTTGGAGCCTGTATGATGCCCTGTAGATGTCCCAGTTGGACCCCTAGGATAATTATTATGTGGCAAAGGGGTTTTATGATGAGTGGGTCTAGAACCATGATTGGTGACAGACCCTTTGTAGGAATAGTGATTCTTATTGTTGTTGGAATGATAATTCCTATTATCAGGGTGGGTATTATGGTGTTTAGTTTTAGCTTGGTGATAAATAGGTTTCAAACCCTTTTGTTGGTGAGTATTAGAAAAATCATTAGGGTTATGTGCTGGATTTTTATTCAGAGTGTGTGGTCTAGGTGAATTTAGAGTATTCCAGGAATTTTTAGGCTGTACAGTAGGTGTACTAGAGGATTTTTGCTTCCAATTAAATTCACGCCCATGTGAATAATCCTGTCTATCTCTTTCAAATTTATCAGACTTGTTGCTTATAATATTCGTTTCAAAATGCATAATCTGATCATTAACTCTGCTGTCCCATTCATTAAAAGTTGGGATATCTGTGTAAAGAGCCAGTTCATTTTGTAAGCTGACAATATCTGATTTAATGTTTGTAAGGTTCCTTTCTCTCTGTTGGATGATTAGATTCACCCAAATTCTGTTACATTTGCGGAGTTCCTCCTTCCAACTAGTGTCTAAGTCCTCATCTAAGAAGCTGCACAATTTAGTTATTCTAAGACCTCTAGGGATCCTATTGGTTTCTAGATTTTTGCAATAATAGTATGTCCCACCATTGGACAATCTTTCTCTAAAAAATGTTTCAATTTATAAAAGAGTGACAACATTTTGTCTTCCCTCATAGCAAAGTCAGAGGTGTTATTCGTACTAGTCTCTTCCATATTACATCCTTTTGACTGTTGTTCATATACATTAATACTGCATGTAAAGCCTTTCGCTAGAGAAGTTCTTCTAACTTCCCTTTCATCAATCGATAAAACCATTATAGTCTAGTGAGTCCAGAAACTGTTCAAGGTTTTTGTAGTGTAAGAAATCCTAAACGAGGAGCAGCAATACTGTGTCCAGGCTGCAAGAGCCCCAAAAATCAAGACCATAAACCAAAAGCGATTTCTCCTGCGCTCCGGGACCCAGGCCGGTGGCGAGTAGATGGAATTAAAACCTCCAGAGAAGCAACCACCGGAGTATCCAAAGTCGTGCAGCTCCAAACCAAGGCTGGGGAAGCCCGAACAAACTGTGAAGTGAAACAACAAGAAGCGCACCAACCTTGTGCATTACCTCAGTAACCAAAATTTATTTAATGAAGGAATGGTACTCACAAACAGCGAATAAAAACAGGCATGCAAGTCCACCCAGGGACTTCAAAGGCAAGAGGCCAGCGCGAATCCCATCATGGGTATAGGTACTCAGTCCAGCTGATGCGTTTCGAAGGTCAAGCCTTCTTCCTCATAGCTGACTGGACTGAGAGTGTATGCTCCCATTTATGCCCACAGACTGAAATGGGACCCTCCCAAATGGGTTGGGCTGTCCTGGGCCGGGGGGAGGGGCCCGGGTATCAACAAAGTACAGTAATCAATAGTCATCCATATAAATATAAATCATAAAATTAAAATAAAAATAAAATGTATATAGATGGTGGATAATACATTATATATTAAAAAATGCAGCTTATCAATACAATAGTAGGAATAAAAAATTAGTTATTAGTATTATACTGATCATCGGATGCATAAAATGTATATAAAAAATACATATAAAAAAAAATATATATATATATATCTCAATGGACATAGAGGAACCCACACAATTGCATGAACTATACATTGTCTGTTCATAAACTATGAGCAATTCATACGCCAGGACAAGAGTTTTGATTTCCACTAAATCTGCAAATAATTCCAGTGCTTGCTAGAGGCACAGTGTTCCATAGTAAAGGATAAGTGTCTCAACCAGTTCAATAGATCTTTCAACTCTGCGTTGAAATATACATACATCAGCCATAACTTCTGACCACCTACCTACTACAGAGTGGGTCCCCTTTTTTGCCACCAAAATAATCCTGACCTATTGAGGCAGTGATGCCACTAGACCGCCAAAGGTATATGGCACCAAGCTGTCAGTAGTACATTCTTTTCAGATAGTAAAGGGAAACCTCTCCCCATACTGTCTGTCAAAGGGAGGGGGGTACAGCCTTTATGTAATCTTCCCCAGATGCACATGCACCTGGTCATCCACATTATGTAAAAGATAATGTGATTTCATCAGACCAGGCCATCTTCTTCCATTGCTCCGTGGTCCAGTTTTGATGCTCAGGTGTCTATTGTAAGTGCTTTTGGCTGTGGACATAGGTCAGCATGAGCACCCTGACTAGAAATGGAAAGGCCTGGGGAAAAATTGGGAAACGGGAGGTTTTTTTCTTCATTTTTTGAAAATCATTTTTTGTTTTTTTTTTCCAGAAAAAAGTGAAAAAAAGTGTGGGATAGGTTTTTTACAATAACATATGATTCAAGCTATAGAACATGAAGGCCTTAATGAAAAAAAATTGAGGGTTTATAACCGTTTTAAATTATTGCAAGTTCTCTCAGTTGAAGACAAGCAAATCTTGGAATACAATTCAAGTAACACTGTACTTCTAAATGCAGTTTTCAAACAGGAGAAATATGAATTTCTGACACTAGGGGCAGTGCAGAGGAAAGGCTCCAGTTTAGTTTGCTTATGTGCTCCATCTTGTACCTCCTACAGTTGGGTGATTGTTGGGATATAGTAGATTTTCTACTCTCTCAGGCCTTAAAGTGGTAGTAAACTGCAGTAAAGGGAGAAAAAAAGTCCCCTGCAAGGTAATGTCATAATGTGCTAGTATACATCGCATACTAGCACATTATGTAAAACTTGCCTTAAAACGAAGCCCTCCAGCAGCATGCTGTCACCTCTGTAGAGGTTTCCATCTTCACTCGTCTTCTTTCCAGGTTTGCGAGCTCTGGCCATCCAACAGGCCAGACCATGATGACGTGACTCGCACGCAGGAGTCCCGGGCCAAGGCACACAGCTCTGAAGCACAGATATGCCGCTCCTTCAGAGCGAATGCACCGGCTTAAAAAAAAAAAAAAAAAAAAAAGATATGAATTTTACCTAAAGGTAAGCTTTATTATAGGCTTACCTGTAGATAAAATTTAAAATAAAGTTTACTTCCACTTTTAATTGATAGGTGAGACAGTACATTTTGTCTGACAAATTTTGTGTCTCTTTAAACAATTCCTGTTAATGTTCTCCATCCCTGCATAATGTTTACCTATAGTCTGATCAGTAAATTGTGATGGTTTTTTTATTTTCTCCTTTTTCCTCCTCTCAGTAAAATGGTGAGACCAACATCTAGCATTTTGGAAACATTTCTGCACAGAGCAAAGCTGCTATTTGCAAATATGGCGCTATATAAGTACCTGAAATAAATATAAATATGAAAAATATTAATTTCCAAATGCTACAAGGATGACAAAACACATCCTGGCATGCCAGACATGCCCTAAAGACATTAAAAAATAATTTATGGAATGAAATGATGGGGATCATAAAAGTGCAAGATCATAAAGAAAATGCATTATGGCAGCAACCTTTAATATGCAGTTCTTTGCTATTCCATTTGTACTAAAAAATACAGTTTTTAAAAAAGTTTAGTTTACTGAATAAGTTGTATTTCAACCCTAATACTTTTATATTATTATTATACAGTATTTATAAAGCGCAGCAGTTTGCTCAGCGCTGTACATTACACAAAGGGGGACAGAACATGTGACAGAACAATACAATACAATGTGATGCACGAGGGGTTTGAGGGTCCTGCTCCTTATATACATTGCATTTCACATTCCCAGTGTAATAGAATATACTTTCAATTTTTAAAACTCGACTGTATTTTTCTTTTACTTTTTCCGAAAATTTCCCTTTTTTTTTTTTTTTTTTTTTTTTTTTTTTTTTCCCTTTCCTTATAGCTTTTTCTGTAACCTTTACACCTCTAATCCTGACTGGTCTGCAGCTATGCAACCCCATACACAACAAACTGCATTGGTCTTTTTTTTTTTTTTTTTCTGCTTTCCACACATCAGGGGAAACATGTATAGATCCATTCCACTGACCTATAGGTACTATTGTAACAACATACTTCAAGTTATTCACTTAAACTGTCAGTAGTCGGAAAGTCATAGCTGATCAGCGTACTTGCTTTTTCAAACAATTACAGAATCTGTAAACTCAATTATTAGATTTAACATGTTAATTGTGTTGTGTGTGGGGTGTTTCTTTTTTTTTTTTTTTTGTAATTTTCAATTATTGTAATTTTGTCAGAAGTGATTCATACTGATAGCAGAGGTATGAAGACAGACAGAAATTAAACTTGATGCTCTTAATTAAGATGAGTACACACTATGGAGGGATATGCTTTGTTCATATTTCATGTCTGAGGTGCCATGTCTTAACTGCCTCATTTGATGGGACAGCTTTGTCTGTTACCAGAAGCCTTAAAAAAGAAAACAAACACATCTATGAATTGGTAAGCTGTATTTTAACTTTTTTTGTTTTGGGGTTTAATAGGTGTTCAATCAGATACACAATGAAAAAAATACCTTTCTTTAACCATTCTTTTTTATGTGCTGTGCAGGTACAAGCTATGAAAAGAAAATCTCCAATGCAGTTGTCACTTACTTTTATTGTATCCATTATAACCTGTTAATCACTGTAATGTAGCAGAGAAGGTGTGAACAGGCAGAATGTTTTCAGTGTATCAGGACTCTAAATGACCTTCTCCTTCATCACAAGGAAATCGTATAGAAGTATAAATTGGGTGTGGTATTTTTCTTTTTTTTTTTTTTCCACCCCAACTTCTAATGTCCTGACTTGTTTCTGTTAAACAGGCTATAAAAATCGCTAAACAAAAAAATGTGTGTGTGTGATAGAAATTTTGCTTCTTTTCCAGCTCTCTTCAGTGTCTCTGATAAGACTGGTCTAGTGGAGTTTGCGCAGAAGTTGAGTTCTCTTGGACTGTCCTTGGTGGCTTCTGGTGGAACTGCAAAAGCTCTGCGTGATGCTGGGCTCACAGTCAGGTATAAACAAAATTTTATATGTATTAACTTGAAAACACAAGCTTAGGGCTCGTTCACACTTGGCTGTTTTGGCAAGCGTTGGTCCGGCGTTTGTGGGGCGTTTACGCTCGGCAAACGCTCCGCAAACGCCGCATGCGCGGTTTAGTGGCGGTTGCTAGGCGGTTGCCAGGCGTTAACGCCCCACAAACGCCTATAATACAGTTTGAGTGGTGTTACCGCTCCGCAAACTCCCCGCAACCGCACCTAAAACGCCGGCCGGGCGTTTGCGGAGCGGCACCATAGACGAGAATAGGAGGCTTCAAAGCCTCCTGACTCGACCAGAGGCGTCCGTTTTTGCCGCGACGCAAACGCTCCCGTTAGAACAGCACCATGTGCTGTAATGTGCAGAATTGGCAGAGGCGTTTGGGAAGCGGTAAAAACGCTTCCTAAACGCCTCTCTGCCGCCTGCACACAACGCTAGTGTGAACGTAGCCTTATTGTAAAAACAGGTGGTCCCGGATATGCTTGGTCAATTGCAAAAACTGTTGGCCATTTTTTTTTCCCAAAGGTGTACATGTTATGTGCGGTTTTGTATGCTAACAAATTCTCTAGATTTTGAATGAAGAGGTGGATTTTAAATAATTGCAGCTACTGACGTCCACACACATGCTCTTGAAGGATCCCTATAGAAATATTAAAAAACAGTCAGTAGTACTGCTCTATTCTTGCTTTTTAAGTTTGACTCTTTGTAACAGTCTCTATAACAGGGATGTTTCCGCTTAAATCTGAAATTCAATACATTACTTAAAACTAATTCCATCTATAAATTTAATTGAAGTATTATATGCCAAAGGATTTTTATGTCGAGAGGCTTTCACAGCCAAGCTGATGACCTGAATTTTCTCTGCTGCATTAACTCCCAACGGTCCAATGCCTGCAAGGTCCCCCACCGACATATTCTGGGTGCCGGTCTTTAGCCATCTTGATTGGTTTGTGCTGGATTATGTCACTCAGAGTGCATTTTTACAGATGATTGCGAACAGGCAGTTAAGTGTTTTTTTTCTTACAAAAGAGACTTTGCATGTCTCTTCTACAATAAAGAATGTGTGTGTTTTTTATTAGTTCCACTTTACAGTTGAGTGACCTTTTTTCCACCAAGTAACCACAGAACCTTGCTCCTGCTTATCCCTCTGCTTTCCTGACCTGACAGTATGCTCCTCGTCAGTTTATTCGCATGCAGCACACTGGATTGGCTCCTAGAGCTGCCACATCCTCTCCCAGACTGAATTCTAGTGTATGGGAGATTACCAATAGCTAACAAATCACTGACACACATGACTGTGTTTTAACTCCAGCTTTCTTTCACTTTGAAATAGTTAGTTTGGACCAAGTTGGTCCAAAAGTATGGTTTAAACTTAGGTTAACCACTGCGCAGGATTTTCTATCAATCTCAAGGCGCGTGCATGCGTGACAAACTACTGCACTGCCGTATTGGTTTCTATAGAGTGTGGAATGCTACAATGCACCTCCCTCTACAAATTCCTATGGTGTGTGTATATACTTCTTTCTATACAAGTGAATGGTGTGAAATAAGTGCTGTAGTCCACAAACTAAAGAGTGCATACAAAGAATATACAAAAATAAACTTGACAAAGAAAATAAAAAACTTTAGTAGGGAACTATAATGCACCTATGTGCCCATGTCAATGCCACATGAACTTTAATGGCATCCCAGTCTTAATACTTAGGGTTCAATATTGAGTTGGCCCGCCCTTTGCAGCAATAATAGCTTCAACTCTTCTGGGAAGGCTGTCCAAGGTTTAGGAGTGTCTATGGGAATGTTTGACCATTCTTCCAGAAGCGAATTTGTGAGGTCAAGCACTGATTTTGGACAAGAAGACCTGGCTCAGTCTCCGCTCTAATTCATCTCAAAGGTGTTCTATCGGGTTGAGATCAGGATTCTCTGCAGGCCAGTCAAGTTCCTCCACCCCAAACTCTTTCATAATTTTATGGACGTTGCTTTGTGTACTGGTGCGCATTCATGTTGGAACAGGAAGGGGCCATCCCAAACTGGTCCCACAAAGTTGGGAGCATGAAATTGTCCAAAATGTCTTGGTATGCTGATGCTATAAGAGTTCCCTTCACTGGAACTAGGGGGCCAAGCCCAACCCCTGAAAATCTGTTGTCGCCAGTTGCTTCCACTTTTGTAATAATACCACTGACTGTGGAATATTTAGTAGTATGGAAATTTTCACGGTTGAACCTATCAAGGTACCACACTTAAATTCACTGAGCTCCTTAGAGCAACCTGTTAATTCACACATTTATGCAGTCTGCATGCTTAGGTGTTTGATTATATACACCTTTGGCAATGGAGGTGATTGGAAAATCTGAATCCAAAGATTTGGAGGGGTGTCCCAATACTTTTAGCAATATCGTGTAGATTACCAAGTGTTTTATCTTTTGTACCAATATGATGTGTGTGTGTGCTCGCGTGTGTGTGTGGTTTTCAAACTTTTGTTGTTGTGACATTAAGTACTCTTCCAAAATACAGCCTAAAACACATAATTACAGTGGTTCTAAAGGCAGGTTTTTTACCTTCATGCATTCCTGGTTCCAATCTCAATCCAGGGATGTGCATAGGAGCCTTGGCTGCTCTCAATCACAGCCCGTGAACCAATAAGGAGAGTGCAGGGGTGGTGCCAAGCCACGCTCTGTGTTGTGAATGGATAGTGTCCATTCACAGGAGCACGGCTTGGGAGCGAGTCTGCTCAAGTGCCTTCATAGCAAGCAGAGGGGAGGAGCCAGTACTGCTGGCGGGGGACCCAAAAAAGAAGAGGGTTTGAGGCTGCTCTGTGCAAAACCATTGCACAGAGCGTGTGTGTGTGTGTGTGTGTGTGTGTGTGTGTGTGTGTGTGTGTGTGTGTGTGTGTGTTTTTTTGTAGTAACAAATTTAAAAAAGTAAGCTTTTAGACTCTAAGCAATAGTAAGGCTCTCCTGTGCTTTGTGCAATGAAATTTGTGTACATTAAACTGCTGCAAATGCTGTAGGTATCTCCAAATATAAAATTTTTTAAACACATTCTCCATTTATTTATATTTTCCTCCAGAGATGTCTCTGAGCTTACTGGGTTCCCAGAGATGTTGGGGGGACGTGTGAAGACACTGCACCCAGCTGTGCATGCCGGTGAGTAGAGGAAAATTAACTGTATCATATAAAAGAGTACAGAAAGGACTCCCTACTCAGTTATTTCTTGGTTCTTTCTATCATTTGCTGATATTCTTTCAAGTCAGAACTCCAAGGTTGTTTTCAGGAAAACTTTATATTTAAAACTGAAGATGGTCTTTGTATTTTGTGTAGTTTAATGCAATAGACTGTCTTTCTGTAGATGGTCTTGTAAATTGCGTTTTTAAATAGGATGAGACATTTTAGGCTTGATTCACACTGGTGCTGTTGCCCATCCAGCGCCAATGAGTGCTTTGTTTATGAGGCTGGAGCTTCATGCAGGCAGTTCAAGTTTCTCTGTGGGATCGCAGAAATTGTTCAGACATGATTGCAGGACCCTAATTTGACAGGTCTACAGGTATCAGTGTGTGGACCCGTGTACATACTGTCTGTGTTTGGGGCCACACACCTGCACAACTCCTAAATTAAGAGCTATGTCTGTATCCATACAGCCGCTGTGTCCCCTATAGGGAAACTGCTCTAGCTAAAGTGCACATTCATGCCTGCACCCCTGTAAATGAAGCTGTGATGTGGACTGCCAGCTTTGAAGTAAACCCTGTAAAATATTTATATATAAATCTTTTCAAATTATTTTTTTAATATAACTTTTATTGATTTTTTTTTTTTTTTTTTTTTTAACCCTAATGTTATTTATTTCAGGTACTTGTACAGCTCCGTCCATTTACGCATATATATATATATACATACACCGTATTTTTCGCTGTATAAGACGCACCTGACCATAAGACGCACCTAGGTTTTAGAGGCAGAAAACAGGAAAAAAAAATTCTGAACTAATGGACTGCAGACACAGTACAGGGGATGACCAGAGACTGCGGACAGCACAGATGACTGCTGACCTTTGGGGAGGTGGGGAGCGGGTACCTGAATTTGACAGGTACCCGCTCTTACTTCCGCAGAGTTTTTGTTTAATCTTACCTGTTCCTCGATCCAGCCTCGCGCTGTCTTCCCGGCTTCTGTAATGGCGCTCGGCATGACAGCCGGGTGCCCAGTGCGCATGAGCGAGAAGCACTTGCGCTTTGTGATTGGTCCGGCGGCTTCTGGGATCTGTCATGTGTCCCAGGTACCGCCTTACCATTCACAAAAAGCACCGCTTCTTGCGCATGCGCACTTGGCACCCGGCTGTCATGCCCAGTGCCCACACTACAGAAGCCGGGAAGACAGCACGCCGCTGGATAGAGGAACAGGTAAGGTCCCGCTGCAGAGCTGAGCGGCCGGCCCGGTATTCTGACACGGGCGTGGTGGAAATACCGGACCGGCCGCTCCATATTCTCCTTATAAGGCGCACTAACATTTCCCCCCCAGTTTTGGGGAAGAAAAAGTGCGTCTTATACGGCGAAAAATACGGTACATACAGTGGGGCAAAAAAGTATTTAGTCAGCCACCAATTGTGCAAGTTCTCCCACTTAAAAAGATGAGAGGCCTGTAATTGGCATCATAGGTAGACCTCAACTATGAGAGACAAAATGAGAAAAATCCAGACAATCACATTGGCTGATTTGGAAAGAATTTATTTGCAAATTATGGTGGAAAATAAGTATTTGGTCAATATCAAAAGTTCATCTCAATACTTTGTTATATCCTTTGTTGGATGACAGAGGTCAAACGTTTCCTGTAAGTCTTCACAAGGTTGGCACACACTGTTGCTGGCATGTTGGCCCATTCCTCCATGCAGATCTCCTCTACAGCAGTGATGTTTTGGGACTGTCGCTGGGCAACACGGACATTCAACTCCCTCCGAAAGGTTTTCTCTGGGGTTGAGATCTGGAGACTGGCTAGGCCACTCCTTCATTGCCCGGGCGGTATGTTTGGGATCATTGTCATGTAGGAAGACCCAGGCACGTTTCTTCTTCAATGCCCTTGCTGATGGAAGGAGGTTTTCACTCAAAATCTCACGATACATGGTCCCATTCATTCTGTCCTGTACATGGATCAGTTGTCCTAGTCCCTTTGCGGAGAAACAGCCCCAAAGCATGATGTTGCCACCCCCATGCTTCACAGTAGGTATGGTGTTCTTTGGATGCAACTCGGCATTCTCTCTCCTCCAAGCACAACGAGTTGTGTTTCTACCAAACAGTTCTATTTTGGTTTCATCTGACCATATGACATTCTCCCAATCCTCTTCTGGATCATCCAAATGCTCTCTAGCAAACTTCAGACGGGCCCGGACATGTACTGGCTTAAGCAGAGGGACACGTCTGGCACTGCAGGATCTGAGTCCCTGGCGGCGTAGTGTGTTACTGATGGTAGCCTTTGTTACGTTGGCCCCAGCTCTCTGCAGGTCATTCACTAGGTCCCCCCGTGTGGTCCTGGGATTTTTGCTTACCGTCCTTGTGATTATTTTGACCCCACGGGGTGAGATCTTGCGTGGAGCCCCAGATCGAGGGAGATTATCAGTGGTCTTGTATGTCTTCCATTTTCTAATTATTGCTCCCACAGTTGATTTGTTCACACCAAGCTGCTTGCCTATTGCAGATTCAGTCTTCCCAGCCTGGTGCAGGTCTACAATTTTGTTTCTGGTGTCCTTCGACAGCTCTTTGGTCTTCACCATAGTGGAGTTTGGAGTGTGACTGTTTGAACTTGTTATCATTATAAAAGACACCTGTTCACAACCTCAAACAGGTGCCATTGATACAGGTAATGAGTGCAGGACAGAGGAGCCTCTTAAAGAAGGTACAGGTCTGTGAGAGCCAGAAATCTTGCTTGTTTGTAGGTGACCAAATACTTATTTTCCACCATAATTTTCAAATACATTCTTTCCAAATCAGCCAATGTGATTGTCTGGATTTTTTTTCTCATATTGTCTCTCATAGTTGAGTTCTACCTATGATGCCAATTACAGGCCTCTCTCATCTTTTTAAGTGGGAGAACTTGCACAGTTGGTGGCTGACTAAATACTTTTTTGCCCCACTGTATGTATGTACATTCACATCCGTCCCTAACCCTCAAGGGGCGTACAATCTAAAGTCCCTAACTCGCATTCATACATACACATACTAGGGCTAATTTAGACAGGAGCCAATTCACCTACCAGCATGTCTTTGGAATGTGGGAGGAAACTGGAGTACCCGGAGGAAACCCGCACAGGGAGAACATGCAAACTCCAGGCAGGTTGTGCCGTGGCTGGTATTCGAACCAACGACCCTAGTACTGCCAGGTGGAAGTGCTAACCATTTAGCCACTGTGCTGCCCAATTTTATTTCATTAGAGTTTACACGGCCATTTACAGATGTTATTTAGAGACTATGGTGGATATGAAACCACTACAGTTTTGTATCTTCAGTATCATGCACGTTTTGGAATTGCCTTTATTTCTAAATAAAGAATTTAAAAAAGAACAACTTTTATTTGCATTGCCAGTTCAATAAAAGGGGAAAAAAAAATCTGTCATCTAGAGATGTTTTCTGAAACTCTGAGGGCACTCTAATATTCTAATGCCAACTGTACTAAGGAATAGGAGGGTGTGGCCAAAACAGTGATTTCCTAGAAGTCATTTTTCAGCATAATGGGTATCTGATTTTTCTTGGTTTTAGATGCACAGTTTAGGGGAGAAAAAAAAATATAAAGTGGTTTTGGCCTGTAGCAAGAAAAGTATTTGTGGCAAAATTCTGCTTCGATTTGTTCTGTACACCTACCTTCATTTGCTGTCTTATCCACTGTACCTTTTTTTTTTTTTTTTTCCCCTCGTTTTATTATTGAAGGTAGTTTTCTGTACCAGCCACAACACAGAAGGGGCAGGGCTTGTCAGAGGGCGTGGCTTATTAGTCTATTTGACGCATCAATTCTTCAAAGCAGCGTTGATGCACTGTGTCAGCCAAGTAGTGCTGACATGAATAACATAATAAAACTTTCATTTCATGCATCTGTGCCTGGAAGGGCCCGTTGTGAAAGTTCAGGTCAGAATATGCAACATTTCACATGAGGCAAAATACAGTGACTCTACATAAATCCTAGAACTGTGGGAGGGAACAGCGCTAACACATGAAGTGGAACATGATATTTATTTTCTATCGGATCTTATTTTTCTTAGGCATCCTGGCAAGAGGGACCCCTGAAGACCAAGCAGATCTTACCAGATTGGGTTTCAGCTATGTCAGGTACAACATAGGCTTTAGGCTTGAGATGGATACAGCAGATAAAACTTTAGGCCTCATTCACACCATTCGTGTACAAAAACTGATGGGAAAACCGTGCAGATTTCACTTGCAGAGACTGTCGTTTACATCAGTTTTCATGCGCAAATCAGTGAGTTATATACACAGTGTATATTCCTGTGCAGAAAAAATCCTTACATGATACTAGTATTGTGGTATGTTTTTTCTTTGTGCCCGTGCATACAGACCGCATACAGAAAAACTTGTATTTCTGCACCATGGTGTGAACAAGGTCTAAGATGCGTATATAAATGATAGGTGTGCAAGAGAACTAACATCTACCTTGACTACATTAAGCTGGCTTTACACTTGTAGATATTTTATTTTTTTCTTTCATTCAGCTTACTGAGTGATAAAAATCTATCCAAATCCTCCATCCATGCTATAGAGCGTGGGCCGTTGAATCCCCCACTGCAGCTGTTTTAGTTTGACTACTGGCTGTAAAAAATACTCAGTTTGCTTGCAGCTTATTCAGCTGAAAATGTTCCTCTGCTTCATTTGAATTATTTTTTGTTTTTTGTTTTTCAATTGGATGTTGGATAGGAGGTGACCAAAGAAGCCACTCGCCAAACGAATTTCATCAGCGTCATCCGCAACCGTCAAACTCGCTTAGGTTACGTTCACATGGCCACATGGGTGTGGATGGCTTTCTCAGCTCAGAGGAGGCTAAATGCTGCATCTGGTTGCAGCAACACAGTGCTGTGGCCACATACAAAGAAGCTGATTAGCTGCCGCAGTTTTTGTATGAGCCGAACACTACAGGGAAGGCTGTCCACAAGGTTTAGGAGTGTCTATAGGAATATTTGACTATTCTTCCAAAAGCACATTTGTGAGGTCAGGCACTGATGTTTGCTGAGAAGGCCTGGCTCGCAGTCTACGCTCTTATTCATCAAAAGATGTTCTAATCGGGTTGAGGTCAGGACTCTGTGCAGGCCAGACAAGTTCCTCCACCCCCAAACTAGCTTTTCTATATCTTTATGGACCTTGCTTTTGTGCACTGGTATGACGTCATGTTGGGACAGTAAAGGGCCATCCCCAAACTGTTCCCACAGTTGGGAGAATGAAATTGTCCAAAATGTCTTGGCATGCTGCCGCCTTAAAGAGTTCCCTTTCTCCAGAACTAAGGGGCCAAGCCCAACCCCTGAAAAAAACTCCACACCATAATCCCCCCCGTCCACCAAACTTTACACTTGGCACAATGCAGTCAGGCAAGTACTCTTCTCCTGGCAACCGCAAAACCTAGACCTGTCCATCGTATCACCAGACAGAGAAGCATGATTAGTTACTCCAGAGAACACGTCTCCACTGCTCTAGAGTCCAGTGGCAGCGTGCTTGACACCACTGTATCCAACACTTTGCATTGGACTTGGTGTAAGGCTTGGATGCAGCTGCTCGGCCATGGAAACCCATTCCATGAAGCCCTCTACACACTGTTGTGTTAATCTGAAGGCCACACGAAGTTTGGAGGTCTTTTAGCTATTGACTCAATAGACAGTTGGCGACTTCTGTGCATTTTGCACTTTAGCATGTACTGACCCCGCTCTGTAATTTTTACATGTCCTACCACTTTGTGGCTGATGTTTTGCTGTTCCCTGTTGCTTCCCCTTTTGTTATAATACCACTAACCGTTGACTATGGAATATTTAGTAGCCAGGAAATTTCATGGGTGGATGTATTGCACAGGTGGCAACCTATCACTGTACCACACTTGATTTCACAGAGCTACTGAAAGTGACCCATTCTGTCACAAATGTTTTTAGAAGCCGTCTGCATGCCTAGGTACTTTTGATTTTATACACCTGTGGCATGGAGGTGATTAGAACACCCTAATCCAATACTTTTGGCAATGGTGTATTTCACTGCTTTGATGTGGGACTCTAGTTAAGATGGCTAAATATGAAGTTTGAACACCTAGATTTAGTTAGTATCTGCTGAAACATTTTTGGTTTTGTGTAGTCCGTTTTGTGATTTGCACATTTTCTGCCACCTCCTGGTCAGCTGTGCTTAGGAAATGTTGTTGTCCATTCGTTGTCTGGAAAACCTTTTGGAGGTTCAGTGGTTATCCCTAAAACTCCAACCATCAATGACAACTGTCATCTGTGTGGCTGTACATTATAGCAAAAGACTGGCAGGTAGAGCAAACCTACATACACTTAAGAGTATCTTAACGCAGTTTTTTTTTTTTTTTTTTTTTTTTTTTTTTGTCTTTTTTAGAATAGAATGTGAAAAGGTAAGAACCCCCATTAGGTTTTACTGCTATTCATCAGAATCTGGGGCAATATCTCAAACATGAAATGAGCTGATAGAGGTTCTGATGAACGTAAGTTTTTTTTTTTTTTTTTTTTTTTTTTTTTTTAACTTGTCTGTGTAACTGTCAGAGATCTTGCCTCGCTTCCTGTTTTGGGGTGGGGACAGACAGCAAGTAAAGGAACCTATCCATCAGAGCCTCAGATGACACTAAAACCCAACAGGCATTCTGATCTTACCCACACACTGTCCAAAGTCATGCCACAATATTGAGCCTGCTGTATCCTATAAAGTTCTCTGCTAAAAAATGGCAAATAACACTGCTTGGAGGAGAGGTCCTTCCCAATTGGCTTTTTGTATTTAAAAACCAGCAGTGGGGCCATACTGCTGCTGTAAAAATTGTGTATTTGGTGTATCAAAACAGTATTTTAACATTATTTTAAATAAAAAAAAAGATAAAATAGAATACAAAAACTCTGCCCTGCGCGAAACTGCATTGTCCAGATGATGGTGGTTTTTCTGTTCTGTTTTTGTTTGTGTTTTTTTTTCCTGATTTTTATGATAATGCTAATCTTTAATATAAATGTCTGCTGTGTGTGATAGTGGTATTTTTACTGACCTAGAACACTTCTGATGATTTTCAGAGTGGTTGTGTGTAATCTGTACCCCTTTGTGAAGACTGTGTCTGCACCTGGTGTCTCAGTGGAGGAAGCTGTGGAACAGATTGATATTGGTAATCCTTTTCCATCCCTATGCTTTTGGTGCTGATAATGTAAAATTGGGTTTTTACTTCCTGAAATCTTTTCCCATGCATTATTTAGTGTCGACCTTGAAGTCTTGCTAGTATCAAGGACAACTATAATCTCCACGTTCTCTTGTGGCAACAGTATAAAAAAAGTTTTAACAGATTAGTGTAAATTTGCTGTTTTGCACATATCTTAGTCTAAAGCCCAGCTTTTGCCAAACAATTTTTTTTTTCAGTTTTTGTTATGAGAGAGTTCAACTGTCAGGTTTTTGTTGTCTGTCTCTTTTTTGGGGAGGAATCCCCTAGCTTTTGTTCCTGTAAGCACACAAGAAAGATCCACAAAAGTCTAAAAAAAAAAAAAAAAAAAAAAAAAAAAAAAGTTCTAATCATTCCCCACATTACTAAAAGGATTTTTTTTTTCGGGTTTGTGTATCTGTTGGAGAAATTCTGCTCAGTTCTGTTTTGGGGGCACACAGAAATTGAGGGGAATATCTCCCAAGCATAGTTTGAGGGGAAAAAAAAAAGGCAGTGACTCCACCCAAAAAGGAGTTGACATTAAAGCAGTCTTAATTTCCCCTACCCCCAAGGTGTTTGTTTAACCGCCTCCCACTCGCCATATAGTTCAATGGCGGTTCTCTCATATGACGTCCTCCCATTCTCACCGTGCACGCGCAGCTCCGGGAGCACGTGGCGATCGGCGGTGTGCTGTGTCCCTAGGACACAGCGGATCACCGATCCACGGAAAGAGCCGAAGATGTCGGCTCGGTCGTGTGATCAGCTGTGTCCAATCACAGCTGATCGCATGTAAACAGGGAAATGCCGGTTATCGGCATTTTTCTCTCAGAGCTGTCACGCTGACAGCTCGTGAGGAGAGCCGGTAATCTGCATTCCTCGGAGGGGATATGTGCCCTGATGATCAGTGTGGCCCCAGCCGTGCCACCTGTCAGTGTCCATTAGTGCCAGCTCTCGGTGCTCATCAATGACTTCCTACCTAAAACCCTTCTGAAACGCCACCCTAGGTGTAATGCTCTAATCTTATTCCAGTCTCTTCCCAGCCTGAAATAATTTTCCCCTCACTACATAGAAAACGTCCATACAAATAATCTTTTGAAACAGATTAAAGCAAGGCTAAAGTCTACACTAAAATGTATTTTTCCCTATCATTCCCATTGCCCTATTGCATAATAAACATGACCACTGTCCAACAGCTACTACGAGTTTTTTTTAGCTTGGCAGGCTAAAAAAAGCTTTGTTTCAGCATCAATGTAAATTTTCAGCCAAGCCAAATGTTTGTTTATGGAGTGCTCAAACAGCCCAGGGAATGTATTGCAGTCAGATTGTGGCTGCACAGCAAAGCGCCCTATGATCATCTTTTCCACTAAACATTACAATTCTTTTGTTGAATGCGTTTATAATTGACAAGTGGTGACCTGATTAGATTTGGGAGACTAGAACTTGGCAGAAGTGACTGTGTGTGTGGTATGTCCATCAGGTGGTGTAACTCTGCTGAGAGCTGCTGCAAAGAACCATGCACGGGTTACTGTCCTGTGTGACCCCAGTGACTACAACAGTATTGGAGAGGAGATGGAGAAATCTGACCAAAAGGATACAACACTGGAGAGGCGCTGTCAACTGGCTCTTAAGGTGAGGTGAAAGTAGACCAGTTTGGGTTCTCATACAGCTAGAGGCCCAAGGAAAAGTGAAAGGAAATTGTATTGTAGTGTATGGTCAATACACTATTTTGATCTGATTGTACAATTTCCTTTTTGCTTTTCCATCAACTGTGTAGTATAAGGACCTGCCTGATTTGATACGAATTATTAGCATTGTTTGTTTATCTTCATAGTTTTGGCAGTGCTAATAGATGTTCTTGATAGTTTTGGTAAAGCTTATAGAGATTGTACAGTCAGGTTGCATGGCTAACTTCAAATGTATTTGCCATCACAACCCCATTTGATCCTCTTCCTTTTGTTGTCACTGCTCTGAACTGGAAATCTGGGTAGTTTGTGTTGTATTTTTTCTTTCTATTTAGTCTACATGATTAATGTATTGTTGTAAATGTCGGTCTCCACAGGCATTCACTCACACAGCACAATATGATGATGCCATATCCGATTACTTCCGTAAGCAGTATAGTAAAGGTGTGTCTCATCTTCCCCTCCGTTATGGAATAAATCCTCACCAGGTTCCAGCTCAGATCTTCACTCATGGAGCACAGCTGCCTCTCACTGGTAGGTGAATGTTCTGCTTCTGAATACACAAAAGGCAAGATCTTGCAAGAGCTACTTAAGTTTGTGATTGCAAAATAATGACTAATGCACATTTTTTTTTGTTCTAAGAGGACAGTTATATTGTTACTGTTTGTAATGCGTTTGCCAAACGCACTCTCATAATACACTTGATTGTGCTGTCATTAGACGATGCAGATCGCAGGCAAACTCTGTAGCCAGTCAGAGTGGCTCTGTGCCTTGTGATCACTGTGAACCAATTGCTGCAATTGCACGTAGTAACAGCTGGCTGTTATCGTTAGCCAGTGCTCTTTTCCTCTCAAAATGACTATGCTAGAAAGGAGGGTTGCTGCCATCTACTGTACCTGATGCCTTGTTCTTTGCTGAACTTTGCATTGCTTTACCCTACCCTTTTTTTTTACAAAAAAAAAAAAAAATAAAATCTAGTGGTTATTAAGCGCCACCACAAAATAAAAATCTAAAATTAATTTAGGTACACTATTGCCTGACCAAGTAATTGTTGTCAAACTATCATAACACTAAAAAGTGGTCTGGAAAGAGAGTGTGTATAACTATGCTATAGTACTAGAAATTTGCAAGTTTAGCTCAATTGGTATGTAATTGTTTTTGCATGTAGGACAATGTGGGTCTCAGGTCCTAATTTCAAGGACTATTGTGAGAATTTCTGATGTATTTGGCCTCAGTCAAAAGTGATGATGTGCCTTCATGTTTTTTGTAACTTTTTGACATTTTTTTTTCTGCAGTGCTCAATGGATCTCCTGGATTCATTAACCTGTGTGATGCTCTGAATGCCTGGCAGCTGGTTAAGGAGCTGAAGAATGCTCTGGGTCTGCCTGCAGCTACCTCCTTTAAACACGTGAGCCCAGCAGGTAACTGAGCTTAACATTCTGTGCAGCAAAACCTTATCAGGTGTAGACTTATAAACTTAAACATATATTGGGAATTATTCAGTAGACAAAAAACATAATTTATCTAGACAATAGCTACACTGATGACGCTAAGCTACCTGATGCCACTTGTGGATTCAGCCACCGCTTGGATAGCTGCTGCCTCCACTGCTTTGCCATGGTGAATGTAAAGCAATTCTTCCTTTAAATTGCTTAAAGTGGTTGTAAAGGATGTAATTTTTTAAAACTTAATATAATACCAGTGTTGTATTCCCCCGCTCTGTGCAATGGTATTGGACAGTGTGGACCCGAGCCTCCTCTTGTGGTCCCCTGCCGACACTATTTACTCCCCTCTTCTATATGTTCTGCCATAGTAAGGTGCTTTCTATGAGCGCTCTCAAGCAGGCTTGCTTTTGTTTGTCTATAGAGACACAGCACAGGATTTGATATTTGACAGCAAGCTGTAAGAGAGCAATGGCCAGGGTGGCACAGCGATGGATCTAAAGAGGAGCCAGGTAAGTATTCAAGGCGGGACTGATTGTGTGTGTGTGTGTGTGTGTGTGTGTGTGAATTCATAAGGGTAAAAAAACCTCATGCTGGTTTTGTTTTTTTAACCACAAGCTGTGTATACCGTATTTTTCGCTCCATAAGATGCACCTGACCATAAGACTCGCCTAGGTTTTAGAGGAGAAAAACAAGAAAAAAAATATTCTGAACCAATGCACTGCAGACACAGTACAGGGGATGACCAGAGACTGCGGACCTTTGGGGAGGGAGGGGTAACGGGTACCTGAATTTGACAGGTACCCACTTCCGCGGAGTTGTCCTTCCTTCTTCCCGCGGCGGCTTCTGTGACAGCCGGGTGCCCACTGCGCATGCGCGAGAAGCGTTGCGCTTTGTGAATGGCCGGGAGCCTTCTGGGACCTGTCATGTGTCCTTGAAGACACCGGACCATTCACAAAGCGCAGCGCTTCTCGTGCATGCGCAGTGGGCACCCAGCTGTCACAGATGCCGCCGTGGGAAGACTAAGACTGGAGCGAGGAACAGGTAAGGTCCTGCAGGAGGGAAGAGCTGAGCGGCCGGCCCGATATTCTGACATGGTGGCGGCAGAAATACCAGACCCAGGCCGCTTTACATTTGCTCCATAAGACAGACGAAAATGCGTCTTATGGAGCGAAAAATACGGGTAAATACTTTCGTGTGACATATATTCAGGCGTTTAACGCACTGTTGTTGTGATTTATCATTGTGAATAACCCCACTGTTCCCAGACTTTGTATGGAGCTGTTTAAGTGGATGCCTATGATATGCAGGATGATGAAACTCAGTGCTGTGTTCACCAGTGATAATGGCTGATGCAAGCTGTAATTGCAGTAAGTGTGGTGTATGGTGTGCCCAGTCTGGGTTTACTGACTGCAGCCTTTCCAAGTCGTCGTCGTCGTCCCCCCCCCCCCCCCCCCCTTCTTTTTTTTTTTTTTTTTTTTTTGTTTTTGTTTTTGTGTTTTTTTTTTTGGCTGAAAGGATACTTCTGGTGTGCTTACTGCAGAAAAATGAGTTTGGTGGGATAAGTCCACTTGTATGCCTTTTCTGGGATTGACAGATTTTTATATTCTTCTAAGAAGGAGAATAAATACCTAATTTTTTTTAAAGCTTTATAACCCATGTGTCTTGTTTAATTCTGCTACTCTTTCCACCATTAGGAGCTGCTGTAGGTGTTCCACTGACCCAGGAAGAGGCACAAGTGTGTATGGTACAAGATCTGTTTTCATCACTAACTCCTTTAGCAGCTGCATACGCTAGAGCTAGAGGTAACACCACTTGTATTAATTTTAAACAAATTACTTTACAAATCCTGCATGAATGATCATTTTGAGGTTTTCTTTTGGTTCCTAGGTGCTGACAGAATGTCCTCTTTTGGAGACTTTATTGCTATTTCGGATATCTGTGATGTTCCGACTGCAAAAATAATATCTCGTGAGGTAAGGGGTTTACAGGTCTATTGTGTAAAAGCATGCTTGGCACACACAATGAAACTTGTTATCCTGGTAAACGTTTAAAGCCTTTTTGGCCACATGGGTGATCCCTAAATAACGAGGCTGTGTTTGATTCTTGCATCTCTATGAGTCTAATGTTTGCATGTAGTATTGGTGAATGAGAGAGACCTCTGACCTCCAGCAATGATTCTGTGATTTTAATCTCCCCTTCTGCTCTTAATTTGGTCCTTTTTTATGTGCCTTCTGCAATAACACGGACGCCTGGGCCTTTGATTCAGCACTTGTTTGTCCCTGTTTTATTAAATGATTTTGGCAACATAGTCGCAAGGTCTGTATTGCGGATAGCCTTTTTCTTCCCCTGAGGAAACCCAGGATGGGTGAAACATGTAGGGAAGCATAATCTGTACACCGCAGGAAACAGTCAAGCTTGCTTTGATTGTCAAGTTCGTTTTAACTATGTTGTATCCAATGTAATTTTATTGTTCTAAATTGGTAAAAATTTTTACACAAATTAGTTGGATTATTGTCATGCACCTTTTTTAAAATCCCTTAATTCACACTCCTTTGTAAAATGTTGTTAGGGATGTGGTGCAATATGCTGGTGGTCAACCACTCATCATTGTTTTAATCCCCTTAACAAATATGCAGTGAAACATGTCACTCTTGTGCTTTTGTGCTAGGTATCTGATGGTATTGTGGCTCCTGGGTATGAGGAAGAGGCGCTGAAAATTCTGTCCAAAAAGAAGAATGGAAGTTACTGTGTGTTGCAGGTGATTTTATTTTTCTTGGCTTTTGAATTTGAAATTCTTTTTGTTCATGAGCGTCGGCATCTCTTTACTTTTTTTTTAAATTAGATATACAAAAGTTTGCGTGTAATAAAGCATACATAAACTATCCTGGACCCTAGACATCCATAGGATGTTTTCTTGCTACATGTTATTTCTGATCACTTCTGTACTTTTGCCAGGTATTCTCACCTCAGGGTTTATTGAAAATTTTGAATACTACCAGTCAAGTTCCACATTTCTCTCTTCTGAAGAAGTTTTCACATAATCTTTCTCTGCCATTTTCCATTAGTATTTTCTATTTGAAGTAATGGTAAAACTTTTATTTTGTTTTCAAATTTTTTTTTTTTATATTATCTGTTATGGTGTGATGTTCCTTTACTTGGGTTATAATGATCATATCTCCTTTCAGATGGACCCAGCTTATGAGCCTGAAAACACTGAAATTCGGAGTATTTTTGGCCTACAATTAGTGCAGAAAAGAAATGATGCGGTTGTAGATGCTTCCCTATTTAGCAATATTGTGACCACAAAGAAAGAGGTCTGCCATAAGACTTAACAGTATAGGTTGAGCAATGTCATTAACACCTATAATAATTTTATATATTGGCTTTTCTTTCAGCCTCCGGAGTCAGCGGTTAGAGACCTGATTGTAGCAACAATCGCGTTGAAATACACTCAGTCCAACTCTGTGTGCTATTCCAAGGATGGACAGGTAACTGTTAGCTAGTAGAAGAATTTGTGGTCAGATTCAGGTCTGTTCTTTTAAGACCATGTATATTTTATACCTGATCTGACATTTGGATTTGATAAAGATGAGGCCTAATGTTGGCCTTCCTGGTAACAATGTTTGCGTTAACCACTTGAGCTCTGGAAGGTTTTACCACCCCCCCCCCCCCCCCCCCCCCCCCTTTTCATAACCAGGCTTTTTTTTTTTTTTTTTTTTTTGCGGTTTTGGCACTGCGCTTTTTTACCTGGTAATTGAGTGGTCATGCAATGCTGTGCCTAAACAAAATTTATATTTATTTCACACAAATGGAGCTTTCATTTGGCGGTACAGTAATACCTCGGTTTACGAATGTAATTCGTTCTGCAGGAACGAAACGCAGTAAACCGAAACGCTGTTTCCCATAGGAATGAATGGAATATCAATTAATCCGTTCCTGAGGTCAGAAAAAAGTAAATGCTACTAAAATACCGCATTTAGTTATCAAGTTATGCGGTATTTTACTAGTGACAATCGTGTTAATGTTTCAGCTGTCAGCGGGGTTCCCTACTGACAGCTGAATGTAAAAGAATTGTCAGCCAGGGTTGGGGGAAGAGGCCCTTGTCCCCACAGCAGCATGGGGACAAGGTGCTTTGTGCGGGTCCCCCCCCCTTTCCTGACCTGCTGAGCTACATGCTCGGATAAGGGTCTGGTATGGATTTTGGGGGAGACCAATCACTATAGCTAATCCTGTGAGCTATAGTGAAGACAAAAAAAAAGCTGGCAATTGCATATAATCCGCACCGACATACGCTTCGTGGTGCAAAATATATTCATAAACCGAGGCATTATTTCAATGGATTTGTAAACCAAAAGTTACATTACCTGAGGCATTCGTAAACCGAGGTACCACTGTATTTGAAAACCACTGGCTTATTTTTTTTGCAGTATAAAAATTTCATATGGGTACAGTGTTGCATGACCGCACAATTGTCATTCAAAGTGCGACAGCGCTGGAAATTGGCCTGGACAGGAAGGGGGTAGAAGTGCCCTGTAGGCTTGAGGTTAATTCTGTGGAATTTGTAAGCAGAGTAAGGCTTTTGCTGTCTCATTCTAGTGTAGTGTATCTGAAGAATAGTTTGTGCGCTATATTACAAGCCATTCGATTCTGAGTGTGCGTATCCTGTATTCTAATGTCCTTCTCTATCAGGTGGTGGGTATGGGTGCCGGGCAGCAGTCTCGCATACATTGCACCCGGCTGGCTGGAGACAAAGCAGATAACTGGTGGCTGAGGCACCACCCTCATGTTCTTGGCATGAAATTTAAGGCTGGTGTGAAGCGAGCAGAGATCTCAAATGCCATTGATCAGTATGTGAGTGGCACCTTAGAAAAGGCAAGTATACAAACCTGAAGTGTCTGTACAACACCTGCCTGTAATGGATTATTTAGATGTCTGTGCTTTTGTGTGTCCTTATTGCTTTTTTTTTTTTTTTTTTTTTTTTTTTTTTTTTTTTTTTGGCAATGTGGTTTTATGTTGTTTTTACTGCTCACAGGAGGAGCTGGAACAGTGGAAAGCCTTGTTTGAACATCCCCCTGAACTGCTGACTCCTGAAGAAAAGAAAAAATGGATCTCTACCTTTACTGGGGTGTGCTTGAGCTCCGATGCTTTTTTCCCTTTTAGAGACAATGTGGAGCGAGCCAGTAAGGTAATTCTCATACTGGGCCTGCTAGTTTCTATAACATATAATGGACAAGGGGCTATCTTGTATCTGTGCCTTTCTACATTGTACCACAATAATTGTTGACGACATAGATCATAAAGTACTGAACAAAAATATAAAGCCTGTTATACCACTGAGTCTAATAGAAAGTTCTCTCTTTGTACATGTGCAGTGTTGGAAAGTGTGTCTGGTTGCTATAAACCAGTAGTGGCCAATTTGGTAAATATAAAGGGTCCCAAGTGCAGCCCCGACATGTCTGGGCCGCGCAATAGATTTTGTTTTTTGGAAAATGATATTCATGTAATAAGGAGTACTACCTGTTTTATTGTGGACAAGCCAGTGCTTAGATTAGTTTTGCTGCAGAAGCTGCACCCCTTAATACATTTTCTTTTTTATAAAAGTGTAAGGCAGCTTTAAGAAGATAAAATACAACTTCACCTGCCACAGCTGTGTGCTGCTTCTAGTAGTTGAAAGAGACAGTGTCTTTTTTTTTTTTTTTTTTTTTTTTTTTTTTTTTAGATGTAGCTGATATGTTAGGGGAATAAAAGTGGTTGAAAATAGCAACTTTTGTGGTTTTTAACACTGAATGCATACTTTTTCACATTTCCTTATATTCATATGTATGGCTCTGTGTAAGGGGCAGATTATCAAAGCCTGCTAAGTCCTGATCTGACAGCACTCCTTTATTAACAAGTCGGTGACTTTTACATTTTTACGGTGGCACTGCTAATGAACTAGACTAGAACTTGGCTGTCATTTTGACAGCTGATTAACTGGCAGTTTTACAATGGCTGATGTCGTGAAGGCAATGGCACTACCAGTGTTGCCCTTGTGCTCCAGACCTGGAATACAGCAGGCTTCACACTAAGCACTGTCTGGCCACGTGCAAATATAGATTTTGAACTAAACAGACTCTGTCACTAGATGAAAAAGCTAAAAAAAAAAAAACTGGAAATGTCTGATGGCTTTTAATTATATAATGTTAAACCGAGAACTAGCTTTCTCGAACTGATAATTCAGTAGTGGTAGCCTCCCATTTGTCATGACGAATTCTTTTATTAGTGTGCCCTAGGTCTTTCACAATCCTGGCAACATTCCCTGAATAATTTGCTCTCCCATATACACCGTTTTTTCAGTTGGCTGAGAACTTCAGCATAATAGAACAAGTGCAGTTAAATGTGACGAAATGCTACCAAAAAAAAAAAAAAAAAGCTAAAACCTGTTCCACTGCCTGCACCACGCTCTAAGAACTACACTGGCCCTCCTTAACACTGTGATTCTGTCCAGCCCCTGTATTCATAGATCACAGTAATAAAATAAGGTCTGACAGAAGGCACCATATATCTCAGTTGGAGATCAGGCCTCAGACACAGATAGGAAAGGTTTGGATGCAGGTTCATGCAGTTACAAGCTTTAAGATCCACATGGATGCCAGGAAATGTTCCTATTAACCCTTTTGTTTACAGACAGCAAATATACGTAGCTTGGGGGAGGACTTCCCTTAGGTAAGCAATAGGTAGTTTTCTTTCCTTCCTCCAAGGGTAGAAGAAAAGTAATTTGCTCTATTTCCCCCATCAACACAGTCAGTGTTGGGAGGAATCCCTTCCACAGTGCTATTGTTTTCTGCCAGCGGGGAGCCTTTCCTGCCAGTAGAACACAATGATCACTGCTAGTTGTTCTAGCTATCGGCAGTGATCACATGCAAAATATGCAGCAGGCGGGTTGTACTGAAGTTGATAGATCGATTTTACGTAAACCCAGCCTGCCCATAGATGGATCAAATTTCGGTCGGTCCCTGCTGGACTGGCAGTGTGTGTGTGCCAAACACAATACACAGCATTGTCCCATTACAATGGTTTGCTGAAGAAAAATAAGTTGGTAGCAATACATGCCAGCTGAAGGAAAAACAGGCAACATATATTGGCTAAATTAGACTGCTTCTATCTGAGCATTAATTTGGGTCCCCCAAACTTATCATAGGTCAAAATGGATTGAGGATACCTAATTCTCTGCACTACTCTCTGAGGTAATCCTGTATTTTTAGACATAGAACTAGGAATAGGAGTCATGGGAAGAGATGGCACTGGCTGTGCAGAAGGACTGGTCTCCTGACTAGGCATGCTCACTAATTAAGGCAAAACCTCTGGAGATTCAGGATCCAATCACTATGATTCTCGAGAAGGAGAGGGTATAAGAGACCTCTGGAACTAACGTCCAGTCATTCATGGATATCAGGAAGTTCAGATGAGAGGTCTGTCTGATGCCAGGATGAGTCACACTATGAAGTCATTTGAGCCATCTTGGCCACTGACTTGAGGAATAGACAGCAATTGATTTCTATGCCAGGCTTTCATCCTGGCCTCCAACAGGCTGGCTGTACTAAAACCAGCCTGCCCATAGATGGATCGAATTTTGGCTGGTCCCTGCTGAACTGGTAGAGATTAGATCCATCTATGGCCAGCTCCGGTTCTAGAGACAGTGGTTAGAGACAGGAGGTCAGGGGAGCTGCATGCTTTAGGGACACAGACCGCAATAAAAACATGTAGCTTGGGAAGGGTTCATCTCCCTTTCTGTTCCAGTGATGGTGATAACCAACAGGAAGTTAGGAGTCCTTTCAGCAATAGGGTCTTGGGCAGCAATATACATTTGTAGAGTGGGGAAGGTTATATGTAAAATTAGCCTTAGAAAGATGTTCCTTGTAATAGTGTGTTTTTTTAATTTTTTTTTTTTTTTTTTCCTTTCTCCTCAGAGTGGGGTACAATACATTGCTGCTCCATCAGGCTCTGCAGCTGACAAGGTGGTAATCGAGGCATGCGATGAGCTGGGCATCGTTTTGGCACACACAAACCTGCGACTTTTCCACCACTAACATTCCAAAAACAATTTCTTTATACTGTAACAATAAAAAGTTTGTGGGGCACTTAAACTGTTTTCGTTTGCTTCAATCAACTACTGGTATTTTGCACAGGGCTCCGCTAGTTAGTTCTGTATGTCAGTCTCTACAATCTTGAATTGTGTGTTGGTGTAATTAGAACAGGGGCTAGGTCTGCAAAATCTACCTATAGTATAAGGGTTTGCTGTGAATGAGGTTTTCTGGCACAAGCATGCAGATTAGAAAGTTTGAATTAAATCCGAACGCTTTATCTGCATTCTAGAGGAAACAAACCAATCCAGTACACTGCAAGTTTCCAACCTTTCAATTAAATCTTATTGATGAGTAGATTAGTATACAAGGTCATGCGATGAAAAATCATGCAGTTGTCAGCATAGATCTGGGAAGATCAAGGGGAAACTCACACAGAAGTGGCAACAGTGCAAAACCTCCATCAGCATATATACACATTTATTGGAAGTAACCTAGCACACTTACATGTTTAAACCACAGGTGTCCAGCACAGAAGTACAGAGACATCAGCAGACGCGAGTTCCTCTCATGCCAGCAGTGGATGTGTTTTGGTTTGACTGCTATCAAGGACTGTCCGGAGCTCGGCGTCCTGGAACGCTGTAGTCAGCCTTGTAATTGCCATGTGTGCCTGGGAGAGATGGGTAGTGTAGGGGGGTGGTAACACGTTTCAAAGGGAAATCTTCCTTTTGTCATAACCTGTCCCAGTGTATGGAAATTGGGTTTAAATAGCGACCAAAACGATCAGTAAGTGATTGACACTGTGGGTTACCAGATACTCAAGTAATATATTGCTAAGGCTACTGTACCAGAAACAATTCTGATACAAGCTACATGCAGAAAAAAACTTGCAATTATTAATATACGCTGTGCTGGGAAATGATTGTAAATAAAAATGATCGGCTATATTAACTTAGTGAGTCTCCTATATTACAAGCCTAAGGGCTTGTTCACACGTAGCTAATTTCTAACTCTTGCCAAACGCCCCTATAGCAGTTGACAGGCGTTTTGGGGAGCGTTAGGCGCTTGGGAAGCATTTTTAATGCCTTATGCATGTTTTTGAAGCGTTTGAACCACACCACAAATGCCTATAATTTAGTTGATTGGTATTAACGCTCTGCAAACACCTGCCAGGTGTTTGAGTGTCCCCATAGACTTGAATGGGGGGCTTCAACTCCTTCCTGACTGGACATGAGGCGTCAATTTTGCAATGACGCTAATGCTTCAGTGTGAACAGCACTGTGCTGTTATGTGTAGAATTTTAATAGGCATTTGAAGAGTGTTAAAAATGCTACCCAAATGTCTAACGACTGCTAACAAAGCTAGTGTGAACATAACCTAATACTGGCATTTCTAAAGAAGAAACCTAAATTATAAGCTGCATTTAAAAAAAAACAAAACAAAAAAAAAACCATAAATTGTAGACTATATTAATTGGTTAAACAACATTAATTTTAAAAAGTCTCAAGTTTTAAAGACTGCAAAGTCTAATATATGTTTCCCTGTTTCGCGAAAATTACTTATCAAATTAGTGGATTGCTGTTCATAGGGCAGAAGTGAAATTTTTGATTGATATATAGATATATATATATATAGATAGATAGATATACACAACTGAATAAGGGTCAAATTAGTAATGTCTAATACAAGCTCACACATTATGTACATGTGTAAGTATGCATGCATATATGATGTGGTGATAAAATCTATGCATACTTCAGTGTAGGTAGACCATAAAATTCTCAATTGTATTAGTCCTCTACATATGTGCATTTGAAATTAGAGGATCGTATGGACCTCCAGTTCTTCACTCAGTCCTTTTGGGGGCCAATGTATCTAACGAATATCCAAAATGTTTCTCTATTGCATAGTGTTTGGAATCTTTCAGCAAAAGATCCTGTTTTGGCAATCGCTGCAATGACCCAGATTTTTAAACCACTGGCATTTTTTATTATGTTTGAGTGTGAATTGTCTAAGAACACTGTTCAATGTCTCCTGCCTCTATCAGTCTTCTGTGTGTGCCTATCCTCTTTCTGACTGTTCGATTAGTTTGCCCTACATAAAATAGGCCACACGGACATGATCGGCAACGGCTAACAAATTTTATGGAACAATTAAAACATTTCTGGAGTTGAAAGCACTTCCCTTTTATTATCTGAAAATGATTTCTGTTTGTGTCACAAAAGAGCACGTTTTACAAAAAAAATGTTCTACATTGGTACATCTCCTTTAAAAGGAGAAAGGTAGGTAATCTACTAACTTTGGGGTTAGTAGTACTCTTTTTCAACTGGTTGAGGGCTATTTCATTTCTCATTCTAGGGGCCTTTCTATGTGTGAATGTGGGATAATTTGGTAAAATATTGCCTAATTTAGGATCTTATTTTAAGATAATCCAATGTGGTTTTTTTTTTTTTTTTTTTTTTTCTTTCCATATCACGATATTTGCTGTGAAGTTGTGTAAAACTTGATTCTCTTTTGTTCCACTTTTTTTAATAGTGTTTGTGTTTCCTGGGGGGATGGGCTTCCAGACATTCAGTTTGGGCTTTAAACAGGTCTTCTGCTTGGTACCCTTTTTCTTCTAAGGTCTGTATTAGGACTGAACTTTGGTCGACAGTCTTCCTATTTGGAACAATTTTCCTTTAACCTCTTCCCGTCCGCCCTATAGCAGTATATATGTGATTTTTCATTTCCGGGTAGATGGTGTGCACGAGCCCTACCCGCTTCTCTATTCCCGGCCTCTGCTGTCAATCACTGGGTCCCGGCCAGTGAATACTCACTAACGCCCAATCGAGGAGCATTACTGACGTAGAGAGAGAACTGTAAGTAAACAATACAGTTCTCTCCCCTGTCAGCTCCTGCACACTGCTGTGGCTTTGCATAGCAGAGCCATGCAAAGCAGTGCGCTTACAGTGAAGCGCACACACAGCAGTTAGTAAAACGGCACACGATTACCCTTTGATCGTCCCACATGTTGACCCCATCCTGCTCAGTGCCATTCGTACAGTGTCAGTGCTTTTCATTACCACTGATCACTGTATTGGTATCACTGGGGATCTCCATGACACCAAGTCAGTTCCCCCCCAGTGTCAGAATGCCCGGCGCAGACAGACCTGCCATAAGTTGCTGATCACCGCCATTACTAGTGAAAATAAAAAAAAATCCCAGTGTGTATTTATATCGCCATTTGTAAACGCTATAACTTTCATGTAAACCAATTAATTTACACATGTTAGGTTTTTTTTTTTTTTGTTTTTAGCAAAGACATGTAGCAGAATACATTTTGCCCTAAATTTAAGACCATTTTTAAAAAATTTTTTACTGGACCTATTTCATAGCAAAAAGTAAAAAATATATATATTTTTTTTTTTAATAGTGCAACAAATAAATGCACAGGCAATCAAACACCACCGAAAGAAAGCTCTGTTTGGGGGGGAAAAGAGATATAAATTTTATTAGGGTGCAGTGTTGCATGACCCGCGCAATTGCCTTTTTGGAGGGCAAGTGGCTAATCTAAAGAACTGACTTCTGGGTATATTTCGTACCCAGTTTGGGTGATGGCAACTGTTGGCGTGATGGTAAGAGTTGCCTGCAGATACACTTCTTTTTTTTTTTTTTTTTTTTTTTTTTTTTTTTTAAATGGTTTTTTGAGACAATTGTAGCCTCAGACTGGCCCAACTATAAATCTAAAAAGACTAATGTATCAAGGTCATGAACATAGCTGAATAAGGCCAAAGGTGGCGGTCATCATTTCCCAATATCCACACACTGGAAATATCCTATTGATTGGATTATTAGATACATGTGGCCTATTGCCATGCTACATTTCTTTGTATGGAAATATTTGGGCGTCCGGACGTATTAGTCATTTTAGGTCTGTCTAATTGTTTGTTCACTAGAACATCTTTATGCGTGTATACACGTGTCTTAAGCCTATCAATGCTTGTTATTTACACTGGTGATTTAGAATGAGTTTTCTTATATAATATGATTTTACTTTTGATAGATTATAATGAAGTTTTTTTTTTTTTTCTTGTCCCTTCTGTGGAGATTTCTCATGTTGCAGTAGTTTAAGGGTTAGAAGACAATATCTACTAATGTGTGGTGGTTGACTGATATTACTATTTTGAATTAATTATTCTCATATTTTCCCCTCTGTCTTTCAGGACAGCACCTCAAGAGACCTCGGCTCCTCCCCACCTGAGGAAACACATCTCCACCCAAAACAAAAGGCCTGCCTCTCCCCGCATGGCCTCAGTTTGTGTTTTTCCTCCGGTGGGGAGACACGCTGTGGAGGCCAGTCTAGGTGCGGTCAGAGAACTGGGGGAGCCTGGTAGGGGAGAGGAGAGTGGCAGTGGAGGTGTGTTGGCCAGAGAGACTGGTGGTTACCTCCCATGGCTTTCAGTGACAGGCAGACCCCCTCTATAGGAAACGGGAGGGCTTCACTTACCTGTCGTGCTTCATCCCGGCCCCCACCGAGGGAGGGCTGGGGAGCCAGGTGCCCCCGTATCCTGTGTCCAGAGGAGACTCCTTCACGGGGGACATGGTTAAGTCCGTTGGAGAGCTACAGACAAGTACCTTCAATTCCTTTTAAGTCTCTGGTTGAGAACTTAGCCTTGCCTCGGACGTGTACCGGACCCCTTCCCCCCCCCCCCCCCCCCCCCCCCCACAGACTGAGGTGGTCCCCTTCTACTAGTAGAGGGTGGGAAGGCTAGGGGAATGAGGCGACGGTGGGTGACCCATCCCTAGGCTCGAATTCAAAGGAGGATTCAGATGGGGAGGGCTCCTCAGACGAACCTAGAGGCCCATCTGGATACAAGTTGTGCCTGGAGGAGGTTGTTAACTTGCTAGGAGCAATTTACCCCACCTCTAAGAAGCCCCTGATGTTACATGTATCAGGGCATGGAGGAGCAAAAACTGGGTTTTTCCCATCCATGAAGTGTTGGTGGAGACTATTAAAAGGGAATGGC